ATCTATCTCACCAAAGTTGTCTGTCTTGTCCCAACTCTCACCTCTTCTCAAAGACGAACCACATTTCCCTTAATTCCGCCAGTTCTACATTCGCCAGTTTTACATCTATCTATCTATCTATCTATCTATCTATCTATCTATCTATCTATCTAGGTTCTGTCTTGTTCTATCTACTTTTATCTATATCTATCTATCTATCTATCTATCTATCTATCTATCTATCTATCTATCTATCTATCTCACCAAAGTTGTCTGTCTTGTCCCAACTCTCACCTCTTCTCAAAGACGAACTACATTCCTTAATTCCGCCAGTTCTACATTCGCCAGTTTTACATCTATCTATCTATCTATCTATCTATCTATCTATCTATCTATCTATCTATCTATCTATCTATCTCTATCTATCTATCTATCTATCCTATCTGTCTATGTCTATATCTCACCAATCTATCTATCCCTTCTCAAAGATCTTCTCACATTCCTAATTCCTGTCTAATTCCGCCAGTTCTACATCTTCTATCCATCTATTTATCTATCATCTATCTATCTATCTATCTATTCATCTATCTATCTATCTCATCTATCTGTCTTATCCCCTATCTACCTCTTCTCAAAGATATCATGTCTTAATTCCGCCAGTTCTACATTTTTAGTTTTACATCTATCTATCTATCTATCTATCTATCTATCTATCTATCTATCTATCTATCTATCTCACCAAAGTTGTCTGTCTTGTCCCAACTCACCTCTTCTCAAAGACGAACTACATTCCTTAATTCCGCCAGTTCTACATTCGCCAGTTTTACATCTATCTATCTATCTATCTATCTATCTATCTATCTATCTATCTATCTATCTATCTATCTATCTATCTATCTATCTATCTATCTATATCTATCTATCTCACCAAAGTTGTCTGTCTTGTCCCAACTCTCACCTCTTCTCAAAGACGAACTACATTCCTTAATTCCGCCAGTTCTACATTCGCCAGTTTTTTATCTATCTATCTATCTATCTATCTATCTATCTATCTATCTATCTATCTATCTTCATATCTGTCTATCTCATTCATCTATCTATCTATCTATCTATTCATCTATCTATCTATCTATCTATCTATCTATCTCACCAAAGTTGTCTGTCTTGGTCCCAACTCCTCACCTCTTCTCAAAGACGAACTACATTCCTTAATTCCGCCAGTTCTACATTCCAGTTTTCTATCTATCTATCTATCTCATCTATCTATCTATCTATCTATCTCACCAAAGTTGTCTGTCTTGTCCCAACTCTCACCTCTTCTCAAAGACGAACCACATTTTAATTCCGCCAGTTCTACATTTCTGCCAGTTTTTACATCCATCCATCTATCTATCTATCTATCTATCTATCTATCTATCTATCTATCTATCTATCTATCTATCTCACATTCCAAACATTGTCTGTCTTGTCCCAACTCTCACCTCTTCTCAAGTTGTCTGTCTTGTCCCAACATTCCCTCTTTAAAAGACGAACCAGTTCTACATTCGCCAGTTTTACATTCTATCTATTCATCTATCTATCTATCTATCCATCTATCTATCTATCTATCTATCTACCAAAGTTGTCTGTCTTGTCCCAACTCTCATCTCTCAAAGACGAACCACATCCTTAATTCCGCCAGTTCTACATTCGCCAGTTTTACATCTATCTATCTATCTATCTATCTATCTATCTATCTATCTATCTATCTATCTATCTCACCAAAGTTGTCTGTCTTGTCCCAACTCTCACCTCTTCTCAAAGACGAACTACATTCCTTAATTCCGCCAGTTCTACATTCGCCAGTTTTACATCTATCTATCTATCTATCTATCTATCTATCTATCTATCTATCTATCTATCTATCTATCTATGTTCACTCTATCTGTCTGAAGCACATTCCTTTTTACATCTGCCAGTTTTACATCTATCTATCTATCTATCTATCTATCTATCATCTATCTATCTATCTATCTCACCAAAGTTGTCTGTCTTGTCCCAACTCTCACCTCTTCTCAAAGACGAACTACATTCCTTAATTCCGCCAGTTCTACATTCGCCAGTTTTTACATCTATCTATCTATCTATCTATCTATCTATCTATCTATCTATCTATCTATCTATCTCATCTATCTATCTTTGTGTTCATATCTGTCTCAAAGACGAACTACATTCCTTAATTCCGCCAGTTCTATATCTATCAGTTTTACATCTATCTATCTATCTATCTATCCATCTATCTATCATCTATCTATATCTATCTCACCAAAGTTGTCTGTCTTGTCCCAACTCTCACCTCTTCTCAAAGACGAACCACATTCCTTAATTCCGCCAGTTCTACATTCGCCAGTTTTACATCTATCTATCTATCTATCTATTCATCTATCTATCTATCTATCTATCTATCTCATCTATCTATCTGTCTCTCTCTCTCCCTTCTTTTACATTCTGTCATTGTTTTACATCCTTCATCTATTCATCTCATCTATCTATCTCTTCTCTGTCTATCTACCCATCTATCTGTTCTACATTCCTTGGTCTGTCTATCTATCTATCCTTAATTCCGCCAGTTCTACATTCGCCAGTTTTACATCTATCTATCTATCTATCTATCTATCTATCTATCTATCTATCTATCTATCTATCTATCTATCTATCTGTCTTCCATATCTGTCGAGAACCTTTAATATCACATCTATCTATCTATCTATCTATCATATCATCCATCTATCTATCTATCTATCTCATCTATTATCTATCTTGTCCCAACTCTCACCTCATCTATCTATCTATCTATCTACACATCCATCTATCCATCTATCCATCTATCTACATCTATCTATCTCACCAATCTATCTGTCTGTCCCAACTATCTATCTCTCAAAGACGAATCTATCTATAATTCCGCCAGTTCTACATTTTGTTTTCTATGTCCCCTATCTATCATCTATTCATCTATCTATCTATTCATTATCTATCTATGTTCTCATCTGTTGAAGCTGCTTTTACATCTATCTATCTATCTATCTATCTATCTATCTATCTATCTATCTATCTAGTTCTATCTATCTATCTCACAAAAGTTGTCTGTCTTGTCCCAACTCTCACCTCTTCTCAAAGACGAACTACATTCCTTAATTCCGCCAGTTCTACATTAATCTATCTATGTTATCTATCTATCTATCTATCTATTTCTACATCTATGTTCATATCTATCTATCTATCTATCCATCTATCTATATCTATCTATCTATCTATCTATCTATCTCACCAAAGTTGTCTGTCTTGTCCCAACTCTCACCTCTTCTCAAAGACGAACTACATTCCTTAATTCATCGCCAGTTCTACATTCGCCAGTTTTATCATCTATCTATCTATCTGTCTATCTATCTATCTATCTATCTATCTATCTATCTATCTATCTATCTATCTCACCAAAGTTGTCTGTCTTGTCCCAACTCTCACCTCTTCTCAAAGACGAACTACATTCCTTAATTCCGCCAGTTCTACATTCGCCAGTTTTACATCTATCTATCTATCTATCTATCTATCTATCTATCTATCTATCTATCTATCTATCTATCTATCTATCTATGTTCATATCTGTCTGAAGCTGCTTTTTATATCTATCTATCTATCTATCTATCTATCTATCTATCTATCTATCTATCTATCTATCTATCTATCTCACCAAAGTTGTCTGTCTTGTCCCAACTCTCACCTCTTCTCAAAGACGAACTACATTCCTTAATTCTATCCAGTTCTACATTTCCTTCTATTTTACATCTATCTATCTATCTATCTATCTATCTATCTATCTATCTATCTATCTATCTATCTATCTCACCAAAGATTTGTCTGTCTGTGTCCCAACTCTCCCTCTTCTCTGTTTCCTTAATTCCGCCAGTTCTACATTCGCCAGTTTTACATCTATCTATCTATCTATCTATCTATCTATCTATCTATCTATCTATCTATCTATCTATCTATCTCACCAAAGTTGTCTGTCTTGTCCCCAACTCTCACCTCTTCTCAAAGACGAACTACATTCCTTAATTCCTGCCAGTTTTTCTACATTCTGTCTTCAGTTTTACATCTATCTATCTATCTATCTATCTATCTATCTATCTATCTATCTATCTATCTATCTATCTATCTCACCAAAGTTGTCTGTCTTGTCCCAACTCTCACCTCTTCTCAAAGACAGACTACATTCCTTAATTCCGCCAGTTCTACATTCGCCAGTTTTACATCTATCTATCTATCTATCTATCTATCTATCTATCTATCTATCTATCTATCTATCTATCTATCTATCTCACCAAAGTTGTCTGTCTTGTCCCAACTCTCCCTCTTCTCAAAGACGAACTACATTCCTTAATTCCCGCCAGTTCTACATTTCTGCCATCCATCCATTTTACATCTATCTATCTATCTATCTATCTATCTATCTATCTATCTATCTATCTATCTATCTATCTATCTATGTTTTATCATTCTACATCTATCTTTTTCTATCTATCTATCTATCTATCCATCTATCTATCTATCTATCTATCTCACCAAAGTTGTCTGTCTTGTCCCAACTCTCACCTCTTCTCAAAGACGAACTACATTCCTTAATTCCGCCAGTTCTACATTCGCCAGTTTTACATCTATCTATCTATCTATCTATCTATCTATCTATCTATCTATCTATCTATCTATCTATCTATCTCACCAAAGTTGTCTGTCTTGTCCCAACTCTCACCTCTTTCAAAGACGAACTATTCCTTAATTCTGCCAGTTCTGCATTTTTTTTATATCTATCTATCTATCTATCTATCTATCTATCTATCTATCTATCTATCTATCTATCTATCTATCTATCTCACCAAAGTTGTCTGTCTTGTCCCAACTCTCACCTCTTCTCAAAGACGAACTACATTCCTTAATTCCGCCAGTTCTACATTCATCCAGTTTTACATCTATCTATCTATCTATCTATCTATCTATGTTCTCTATCTATCTATCTATCTATCTATCTATCTATCTCACCAAAGTTGTCTGTCTTGTCCCAACTCTCACCTCTTCTCAAAGACGAACTACATTCCTTAATTCCGCCAGTTCTACATTCGCCAGTTTTACATCTATCTATCTATCTATCTATCTATCTATCTATCTATCTATCTATCTATCTATCTATCTATCTATCTATCTATCTCACCAAAGTTGTCTGTCTTGTCTATCTATCTCTCTATCTATCTATCTCTCAAAGACGAACTACATCCCAACTCTACCTCTTAATTCCGCCAGTTCTACATTCGCCAGTTTTACATCTATCTATCTATCTATCTATCTATCTATCTATCTATCTATCTATCTATCTATCTATCTCACCAAAGTTGTCTGTCTTGTCCCAACTCACCTCTTCTCAAAGATATACATCTATCCAGTTCTATCAGTTTTACATCTATCTATCTATCTATCTATCTATCTATCTATCACCAATCTATCTATCTATCTATCTCACCTTGTCTGTCTTGTCCCAACTCTCACCTCTTCTCAAAGACGAACTACATTCCTTAATTCCGCCAGTTCTACATTCGCCAATTTTACATCTATCTATCTATCTATCTATCTATCTATCTATCTATCTATCTATCTATCTATCTATCTATCTATCTATCTCACCAAAGTTGTCTGTCTTGTCCCAACTCTCACCTCTTCTCAAAGACGAGACTACATTCCTTAATTCCGCCAGTTCTACATTCGCCAGTTTTTTATCATCTACATCTATCTATCTATCTATCTATCTATCTATCTATCTATCTATCTATCTATCTATCTATCTATCTCACCAAAGTTGTCTGTCTTGTCCCAACTCTCCCACCTCTTCTCAAAGACGAACTACATTCCTTAATTCCGCCAGTTCTACATTCGCCAGTTTTACATTATCTATCTATCTATCTATCTATCTATCTATCTATCTATCTATCTATCTATCTATCTATCTATCTATCTCACCAAAGTTGTCTGTCTTGTCCCAACTCTCACCTCTTCTCAAAGACGAACTACATTCCTTAATTCCGCCAGTTCTACATTCGCCAGTTTTACATCTATCTATCTATCTATCTATCTATCTATCTATCTATCTATCTATCTATCTATCTATCTATCTATCTCATCTCCAAAGTTGTCTGTCTTGTCCCAACTCTCACCTCTTTCTCAAAGACGAACTACATTCCTTAATTCCGCCAGTTCTACATTCGCCAGTTTTACATCTATCTATCTATCTATCTATCTATCTATCTATCTATCTCATCTATCTATCTATCTATCTATCTATCTCACCAAAGTTGTCTGTCTTGTCCCAACTCTCACCTCTTCTCAAAGACGAACACATTCCTTAATTCCGCCAGTTCTACATTCGCCAGTTTTACATCTATCTATCTATCTATCTATCTATCTATCTATCTATCTATCTATCTATCTATCTATCTCACCACCAAAGTTGTCTGTCTTGTCCCAGTTTTACATCTCACCTCTTCTCAAAGACGAACTACATTCCTTAATTCCGCCAGTTCTACATTCGCCAGTTTACATCTATCTATCTATCTATCTATCTATCTATCTATCTATCTATCTATCTATCTATCTATCTATCTATCTCACCAAAGTTGTCTGTCTTGTCCCAACTCTCACCTCTTCTCAAAGACGAACTACATTCCTTAATTCCGCCAGTTCTACATTCGCCAGTTTTACATCTATCTATCTATCTATCTATCTATCTATCTATCTATCTATCTATCTATCTATCTATCTATCTATCTATCTCACCAAAGTTGTCTGTCTTGTCCCAACTCTCACCTCTTCTCAAAGACGAACTACATTCCTTAATTCCGCCAGTTCTACATTCGCCAGTTTTACATCTATCTATCTATCTATCTATCTATCTATCTATCTATCTATCTATCTATCTATCTATCTATCTATCTATCTCACCAAAGTTGTCTGTCTTGTCCCAACTCTCACCTCTTCTCAAAGACGAACTACATTCCTTAATTCCGCCAGTTCTACATTCGCCAGTTTACATCTATCCATCTATCTATCTATCTATCTATCTATCTATCTATCTATCTATCTATCTATCTCACCAAAGTTGTCTGTCTTGTCCCAACTCTCACCTCTTCTCAAAGACGAACTACATTCCTTAATTCCGCCAGTTCTACATTCGCCAGTTTTACATCTATCTATCTATCTATCTATCTATCTATCTATCTATCTATCTATCTATCTATCTATCTCACCAAAGTTGTCTGTCTTGTCCCAACTCTCACCTCTTCTCAAAGACGAACTACATTCCTTAATTCCGCCAGTTCTACATTCGCCAGTTTTACATCTATCTATCTATCTATCTATCTATCTATCTATCTATCTATCTATCTATCTATCTATCTCACCAAAGTTGTCTGTCTTGTCCCAACTCTCACCTCTTCTCAAAGACGAACTACATTCCTTAATTCCGCCAGTTCTACATTCGCCAGTTTTACATCTATCTATCTATCTATCTATCTATCTATCTATCTATCTATCTATCTATCTATCTATCTATCTATCTCACCAAAGTTGTCTGTCTTGTCCCAACTCTCACCTCTTCTCAAAGACGATCTACATTCCTTAATTCCGCCAGTTCTACATTCTCCAGTTTTACAGTTTTATCATATCTATCTATCTATCTATCTATCTATCTATCTATCTATCTATCTATCTATCTATCTATCTCACCAAAGTTGTCTGTCTTGTCCCATCTCTCACCTCTTCTCAAAGACGAACTACATTCCTTAATTCCGCCAGTTCTACATTCTGTACATTTGTTTTACATCTATCTATCTATCTATCTATCTATCTATCTATCTATCT